TTGAGTGTAATGTCACTTTTAATATAGCTTTTAATTAAAAAAATGACATATAGTATCATTTTCTTTAACAAATGAAGTGAAATTTTCTCCGTCACCACTACTAGTATTACTAGCCAGACCAAAGCCTAAGTATAAAAAACTATACACATAAAACAAAAGAAAAACGAACTCAAGCATGTACGTATTCAGAAAATTGACAAACACTAAAAAGGTTACACACAAAAAACGGTAAAACACTAGTCAAGACCTTAAATTATATCATGTTATACAACTTCAACCACTCTGGGATCAACACTTTATAGCTAGGTTCCAATTGAGAGATTTTTTGGGGTGTGGTTCTTGATCTCAAAATCAACACCCCATCATTCATGAAGCACAACAATCCCAGGAGCATCTTCTTTCCCAATCACATAGGCATCAAATGCCTGCTTAATATTCCCCCCAGACAAAAAGAAAAAGACAACTTAGAAAAGAAACAAAAGCAAAATCACAATTTCAAACGCATGATTAGCATTAATTTGATCACAATTCAACTTTCCAATCAAAAAGCAAAATCATCCTTTCTCTGTTCATCAAAATCTAACAACTTTATAGTACTTACAAATAAAAAAAAATCATCTCTTCCCACCCAACTGAGGAAACAGGAAGGAAATGAAAAAATGGGGAAAACAAGGATAAAGTGAATAAATACATACGCGTAGAGGCACAGACAAGCAAATGAGTTTTTTAGTCTCACCGCGTCGTCTCTCTGAATCTGGATTTTCTTGAAAGCTGAAGATGAGACAGATTCAGAAGCCACTGCACTAACCTGATGAAGATGAATCGAGAGATTTCGAGAAAGGAAGAAGGCTGGGTATGTGAGTAAATTGGGTTTGGTGTTGACGAATATGGCTTTTGTGAAGAATCTAGAACAACTGGATATCATTGTCTCACTTGACACTTCTATAGCTGGGCTTGATGAGTCCTAATATTCGGCACAATACCATCAGCGTAGTTGTAGTGGCGTCATCACAGCTGTTGTAGTGGCGTGCACGGTATTTGTGGTCTCTGTTCTCAATTGGGAGATTTTTGGATTTTGGGGTTTTGTTTTAAGGGGTACTTACAAAAATACCCTTAAAATTAAGGATGTTTTGAAAAATCATGTGAAAGGTTCTTAGGAAGTAAAAAATACTGTGTAAAATGAAAAAAGTGACGCAATGTCACTTTTTTACTTTTTTAAAAAAAGTGACAAATTCAAAAAAAAAGTGACAAAATTCAAAAAAAGTGACTCAAAAAGTGAAACAAACTCAAAAAAGTAACACAAATTCAAAAAAAAGTAACAAATAAATAAATAGCATCATTCATTCGTACAGCACTAGTAATCATAAAATAATCAGCACGTTCAGGTAAATTCACGTGCTGATTATATTAAGAAAACATAATATATTATTTCATTTTTTGATCTTCTTAAAAAGTGACAAAATTTTAAAAAGTGATACAATGTCACTT